GAAGACATACAGAAGGAAAGCCAGTAAAACTCATAAGAGCTATACAGAAGCAATGTTAGTAAAACTCATATGATGTTTTGCGAAGACATGACAAATGGGGAGAAATTAAGAGATATCATGTTCGGGAAAATTTTCCAGAAATGCCACCCAATAACTAAAAAATTAAAAAAATAACACCCTTTTTCAAAATTTTCCATTTATACCACCCTTTCCCAAAACGCATGGCCCCCTATGGCGGTTTATAAAAGGACCACAGGGGGGTGTCGCGGGTTTCATTTCACTCCCCTTGGTTTTTTATCAATGTCTAGCCTAGGCTGAAACTTCAAACGAACGTAACTTTGTGCTCGGTTATCCGTTCGTAGCAAAATCTTTTTTGATTCCGATGTCATAAGGCGGCAATCGATGGAAAGGGATTTTCAATCGATAAGGGATTGTAGTGATGGAAGGAGAATACAAGAGAGGTGTGGCCAAGATTGCTTCATCTCCCTTTGCCGTACAAGTAAATAAAGGCAGTGCTGCTAGGTAAAAAATTGATAGGCAGCGGAATGTGGGGGTGTGGCGGTTTCACACTTGAAGTGAAAACTGCGTGGTGGGGCCACGATCAGTCTGACCGCAGCCACCCCACGCGGTCTGTAGGCATGCAGGAAGGAAAACCGCGTCGCCCTCCTGCAGTCCTTTTGTAAACAGCCATAGGGGGTAGGTTTTTTTTTTTTTTGAAAGGGTGGCATAAATTGACATTTTTAAAACGGGTGGATTTTTGTAAATTTTTTGTTTTTGGCTGGTATTCTAGGAAAATTCTCATGTTCTCCTTGTCATAAAGGTCTTCTCAAAATAATTGGCATTGATCGTGAGAATACTTACTTTCATATGGTGGATATGACTTTGGACAGTATATAAAATTTATGCGTCTAATGAATTTTGTCACAATGCACTTATTAAGCATGTTTGATGGTGATATAAATATGAAACTCTCTGAAGGAGTTAGTTTGCTCGAAGCAAATATGTGAAGGTTAAGTGAAACATTACTAAACTCATTAAACCTCATAAACTAAATCGAAAAAGCATCGACAAAATGACAGCCTCGATGAATTCCCTACGAGAAGGGAAGAATACGTTCGAGAAAGACGGGTGCATTTACCTAGAATACCTTCCAATGATTGTTGCATATGTTATTACAAAGAATCATTGATTGAATCTACCAAACTTCTTATGAAAATGTGTCACCAAATTTGTTGCCACCCTTTCGGGCGTTGACACATTTGTAAACAATTATCTCAAGTTAAGATTCAAGATATATATAGATTTGAAACTCTAGAAGATTATTCAAAGATAAGAAGTTGTTGAATGACTTAAAACTCTAAAAGAGTATTCAAAGGTAATTGAAATCAATAACTTGAAAGAACAAGATTTTCCCTTGGATAGCAAATCAAATATTTGCAAGAGAAAGTCATGTGCATCAAGAAATATATAAAAGATGCCAAATGATAAGAATGTGTAAAATTCGTCAAACTTATTGATTATTAAGATCACTATAAGAATAATAATCTATTTGATAAAGTTATCCATTATTTGGCATATTTCTTAAAGACTTATCTAGAAGATTTTATATGAATGTGATATTCCATATATATCTGAAAATGTACATATGAGAATATTTTTCAGCAAAGTTTGTTTTCACTTATGAACTTCATGAGAATTATGAAACCAACAAAGTTTGTTAAAGAACTATCCAAGAGATTAGTCTATTACAGTATTACATTTCACAACACCATGTGAAAAGATATTGGAACTTGAAGACTTCAAACTGTTGATAGATCTCTCAATGAGGGGAGACTTTACACACACTCCGCTCTTGTTCTCTTAACCAAAGTTTTTTCCTGGTAAGGGTTTTAATGACTTCTTTGTTATTCGCCGAACCCCGTTTCATATAAACACGCAAAATTAAACGTCATTGACCGTTTTCTCTGTTTTTAGAACCGGATTGGAGGCTGAACCGAAAAAGTTAGTGGTTTAGGGTTCAGTGGTTAACCGTTGGTGAACCGTTGATAGAACGATATAAACTATAAGACTTGTGTATTACACTAATTTAAGAATAGAGTTATCATTAACCATAAACAATTTCAAATTCATATCATCGACAAAATATCTAATAAATCATTCAAACCGTCTCACAAAAGAAATCATAATTTTTATAATTCAAATTAAAAATTATTGTGCGGGTCGATGGTGGAAAACGTAGAGTTGACAACAAGGATGAAAAATGAGAAGAGGAAGCATATATTAAATTAATAATTATGGTTTGATGGTTTAGTTTAGGTTAAAGTATTTTTTTAATTTTTTTGGTTAAAATAGTGAACCCGTCGACTAGTTAAATTGTGGTAGTTCATTTGATTTAATGTCGAAATGTGAAAAACCGTTTGGTCTATCAATAACCGTCCACCAATAAACCGGACTGCTATTGTAGATGGTTTGTCGATTCTACTAACCCGACCGTTGATTCAGTTTGGTTCTTATAACAATGACATTTTGTAAGTGCTAAGTCGTGTAAGCTGACGGCGGACAAATGGTGATGGTAACTCCAGTTATCAAACTACCTATAATTTTCGTGACCTCACCACGTTGGATAGTCCTCTTGCTTGCCACTTTTCCACTCTCCACATGGTTCTCTACCGATAAAACAAAACCTGATTCTTCCTCTCTCCCTTCGTTCTTCCCTTCTCCACGCAACCAACGATTTATCCCTTATTCCTTCACTCACCACTCAGCTAGAACTAAAATAATTGATATCCGATTTCCCTGTTGTGTAAGGATCATCAATGGCTGAACCCGGCAAAATGGGAAGGAGAGACGGGAAAGAAGAAGATAGAATGGAGGGAAAGAGCTTTGGTTTTATTGCTAACTAACAAATCGGTAAAGTATTTACACATGGAAGCTCTTTGCACACGTCACCATGCCAGTTGTCTTCTAGTTTGTTACAAACCCTCTCCCTTCAGAGACAGCTTGTCCTCAAGCTGGAAAGGCAGGAAACTAACATTTAAAGCTGGGCAAATCCTCCCATGTAGCATCTTGGGTAACCTGATGAATCCATCAAACTAAGACCTGTGTCACTAAACGATTATTCTGATTGATGAACCTTCTTGCTAGGATCTGTGTTGGTTCCAATTTCAAGGATCCATTATCGTCTTGAGCAGGTAGATGCACAGCTGCAGGTGGAACAGTGGACTTGCACAATTTCAGCTATGACACGTGGAAAATAGGGTAAATCTTGGAGTGAGCAGGTAAAGCCAACTTGTATACCACGACTCCAATCTTCGCCTTAATAAAAAAAGGGCCAAAATACCGAGCTTCCAACTTGTTGCCATGATGTCCCACAACTGAACCCTGGCGATATGGTTGCAGTCGTAAATATACCCAATCATGGACCTACAGAACCCTCTCAGATTGCCTCCTATCTGCATACTACTTCTGCCGATTTTGAGCTTTCGTGATACTGTCAATAAGGAACTGCACCAGCTGATGGTGTATCGTGACTCTATCCTCCACAGCTCCCACTGGAATAGTCGAAGTGAGAGCTAATACAAAGTGAGAAGGGGGGAACCATAAAGGGCTTCAAAGGGTGTCATCTACAAACTGAGGTGATAGTGAGTATTGTAGCACCACTCGGCCAAGGTTAGCCAATTAGCCCAATCCTATGGTATGTGAAAGGTCATACAATGGAGATAGTCATCGAGGAAATGATTCACGCACTCCATTTGGCCGTCTGTTTGGGGGTAATATGCAGTGAAATAGTGAATGTCTGTGTGTTGGAGTCTGAAAAACTATGTCCAAAACTGGCTGGTAAAAAAGTAGAATCTCTATCAAAGACTATTTGGAGGGCATGCCATGGTACTTAAAAACTCCATCGAAGAAGACCAATGCCACCTCTGCTTCTGTGTATGGATGGCTAAGACTGAAAAAATGTGCCACCTTAGTAAACCAATCCACTACCACCAGAAGCACCTGCTTACCCTTGGAAGTAGGTAAGCCTTCAAAGAAATCCATACTGAGATCACGCCAAGCTCTAGTAGGAATAGGATGGGGGTGGAGCAATCCAGGAGAAGCCAAAGTCTCTACTTTGCAACGCTGGTGCACATCACAGCAAGAAATCCTAGATACGACAGCATACTTCATACCTTTCCATTAAAAGTGAGCTTTGAGTCATTGGTAAGTAACATGTGCACCCGAATGGCCCCCCAACAGGAGAAGACTGGATCAGATGAATCAATTTGGAGCGCATAGGCCCAACATTCTCTACAACGATAGCTCCCTTATAGAAAAGAATGCATGAGGAGAAGGACCATAAAGAAGGTCCTTGGGAGTTGATAGCCGCAACAGCTATCAAATCAGCTACCTCAATATCATTGGTATAAGTCTCCTCTATCTTAACCAGCCACTCAGGTAAAATAGTAGTGAGAGCACTACAATTGCCTTCTTCTACACTACCCTAAAAAAATCCTTTACAATGCATCAACGGCTCCATTAAATCGACCCTTCCTATACTTTTTCTAGATAGCTGCGTGGACCTTCGTACCCAGCAAAAACTTTAGACTCTCGTGATCAGTGACGATAGTGAATTAGGGGTGGGCATGCGGTTCAGTTTTACCGAACTGAACCGAGCAAGAACCGACCGAAACCGAAATTTACCTTGTTAGGTTCGGAGTTCGGATGAGAATTGCCACCAATTCGGGAACCAACTTCAGTTATACCGAACCGAAAAACCGAGCGAATTGCCGAAATTAAAAAGGCCCAACCCAATGACCCATTAAGCCAACCCTTTTCACACTTCAGCAGGCCAACCTACTACCCACCCAACCCAAGCCCAACCTCCTTGCCCCAAGCCCCTAAGTAAAGCCCAATTAGAAGCAGAAAACCCTAAGGATTGGTTCGTTCACTTCTTTGATGAGTCTGACTCTGAGAGACGAGAGTGAGACCCCGACCCGACGGCCGACCCTTCTTACTTCTTAGTCCCTCCACCACTGCCAGCCTCCTCCACTCCACACGAAGAAAGCAGCAGCCGCCAGCAAGCGCCCAGCAGCGGCGACGCTCGACGGCCTCTTCCCGACGGCGTTTCGCCGTTTCCCCGATGCCCCAAGACCTCTCCCTGACTCCCTCCCTGAGACCCCCACCCTCCATCTCTCTCTCCCAGATTCCCAGTCTACCAGTGAGACCGACCAGTGCCACTCCACTCGCCGGTCGTCGCCTCCCTCCCTCAGACGGCAGACCTCTCCCGCCGACAGCCACCACTCACGCCTCCCAGTCTCACTCCAAATTCGAAGTTCAGGAAGCATGACGACCATTCGAAGGCCAAAGAAAAACACCGGCAGCCGCAGCTCCACCAACACTGACGCCGACGGTCAACAGAATCCGAACGAGCAAGTGGACGTCCATGTCTTGGTAGGTTGTTGATTGTCGAGAATGATCCCCCTATCTCTATACTAGTGCATGCTTGAAAATGGGTGGGAATGTCTATGTCTTGTCTGTTTTTATTGAAAATTAGGTTTGAATTTGATGCCAGGACATAGCTGATTTGTTGAATTAAGGCATAATGGTTTGTATGTTGCTTAATGTCTATGTCTAATACTGTTTTTATTGGACAATCAGCCGAGTAGGATTTGCTTAATGGCTAATTCTTGTTTTTATTGATGGTGTTATAGGAAGATGATTCATCAGCCGGTGATCCTCCCGTAGATGAAGCCGAAGCTCCTGTTGTCCGCTCCGGCTCTACTACCAAAAAACCTCTAAAACCGAAAAGAAAGGAGATCAAGTCAAGAGCTGTGTGTTGGACTCAATTTACAAAATTCAATGCCCCAGATGGATACAAGATGTCAATGTGTATGAAGTGTGGGAAGGAGTATGAGGCCGATCCATTTCTTAATGGTACCAATGCTATGAATGTTCATATGCGAAAGGGTTGTGGTGAAAAGAAAGGTACTACTCAACAACTCTTGAACTTAAGGAAAACTGAGGTAGAAGGTGAAGGTACTTTAACAAACTGGAAGTTTAATCAAGAAGCTACTAGAAAGGGGTTAGCTTACATGCTCATTGTTGATGAAAAACCATTCAAGTTTGTTGATGGGATGGGTTTTAAGTACTTCATGTCACTATGCTGCCCTATGTTCAACATTCCTTCTAGGAGAACAATCACTAGGGATTGCTTTGCCTTCTATAGTGAAATGAAAGACAAGTTGAAAAAGTATTTTCAAAGTGCTGAAGGGAGAATTTGTTTGACTACTGATGCATGGGCTTCAAATAAGCAAGATAGCTTTATGTGCCTAACTGCCCACTTCATTGATCAAGATTGGAATTTGAGAAAGAAGATCATCAATTTTGGGGAACTTAATGGTCATAAAGGTGTAGATATTGCTGATGGCATTATTGCTTGTTTGGATGATTGGGGGATTGAGAAGGTTTTCACAATTACTGTGGATAATGCTAGCTCTAATGATACAGTTGTGGCCAAATTGAAGGAAGTTTTCAATACTAGGGGGACTAGTATTTGTGATAGTGAATTCCTTCACATGAGATGTGTAGCTCACATTTTAAATCTGGTTGTGTCTGATGGGCTTGGAGATATCTCCTTGTCGGTGAAGAGAATTAGAGAAGCGGTTAGGTTTATTAGAAATTCACCAGAAAGGTTGAAAAAATTTCATGAGTTTGCTACTGTTCAAAAGGTAGAGGGCAAACGTGGATTGTGTCTTGATGTTCCTACTAGATGGAACTCGACATTCTTGATGCTGCAGGCTGCTGAGAGGTTTAAAAAGGTCTTCATGATGTTTGACATGTATGATGACCATTTCCGAAAGGATTTGGAAAGCAAGAAGGATAGACATGACATAATTGGGGTCCCGGAGAAGGATGATTGGGATAATGAAAGGAGAATGATGGGATTTCTTGGTCGGTTTTACGAATTCACCTTGAAGATCTCGAGCTCAAAATATACTACTTCTAACTTGTTCTTACAAGAAGTGCATTCCCTATATCATTTGATAACCAATTGGGAGATGGAAGTTGAGAAAGATCTCGACTTGAGTATCATGGCTATCAAGATGAAGATGAAGTACGAGAAGCATTGGGGAGATGTGGATAAAATGAACAAGCTACTTTACATCTCCACTGTAATGGATCTGAGGTACAAGATGGGTTTTGTTGACTTTGCTTTGAAAAGGGTGTACCCTGAGGGTGGCAAGGGAGCACGTATGGCAGGGGATGTGAAGACCGCTACATTTGATCTATTTGCTCACTATGAACAGCTTTGGAAGTCAAAACAAAGCAAGAATGCCTCTACTTCTTTGGCCCCAATTATGGAGGAGGGTGATGGGGATGAGCTTGATGTACTTGCTGAATACAAAAAGCATAGAGAGCAAATGGTAGGGGCGGTATACAAATCCGAGCTTGAGAAATACCTTCGTGAGGAAGATGAACCAATGGTGCTCAAGTTTGATGTACTTCGTTGGTGGAAGGTTAACAGCTTGAGGTTTCCAGCCCTTTCCATGATGGCTAAGGAGATGTTTTAGCGGTCCCAATCTCTACCGTTGCATCTCAATCTGCCTTTAGCGCTGGTGGGAGGATTCTAGATGATTTCAGAAGTTCGTTGACTCCTAAGATAGTGGAGTCCTTAATTTGTAGCTCGGATTGGATTCGAGGTGAGTCTGCACCACAATCAGCCGAGGAGGATCCAGAAGAGGTTGAGAAAATAGATGAAGGTAAAGTCTCAAATCTAGCATTACATATTTATAACATGATTAATTTGTATGTCATGACTAATTTTGAGTTTTTTTAATCTTGCAGAATTGGACAAGTTGATGAATGCAATCTCCATAAGAGATAATCTTGTTTCATCTACCTCGACTTCCAATGTACCAAGTTCAAGTGGAAGGAGGAACGATGGTAGTGCATCTAGTAGTGCTTGTGGTGAAAATTCTGATGTTTCTATGCACGATTGATGACTTTAGAGGTAAGAAGTTGAGATTTTATTCTATTCTACTTGATTATTTGTAATTAGCTTTATACATATTAGTCACTAACCATCATTGTTTTGTTTCATGTTTCTTGTACTATTTTTGAATTCAAAGGTCTCAATTGTCCAAGAGTGAAGAGCTAAGAAACAAGATCTTTGGAGTTTTTACAAGTAATGATTGGAATTTAGAAATTGGTTATTTGGTTACCTTTCTCATGTTAGTTTGAATTTAAAACCATTTGTATTGTAATGAATATTTGGAAGGACTTGAAGTATTGTGTTTGTGTTGAATATTTGGAAGGTGGACATTGATTATCTTTCAACTTTGAATGCTTGTTTTAATTAATTGTATTTGATCTATAAAATAGAAATGTTAGGTGATAAACAACTTAAATGAGAAGCAAAAATACAACATCCCTATTGTCCAAAAGGCAGCAGAACAGAAGCACCAAAATTGGGGGGAAAACTCAGCATGTCAGCAGCAGGAATTCGGTTGTGTCTGGAAAAACCGAACCGATCTAAAATTCGGTTCGGTTGAACCGAACCGAATTATAGACCGGTTCGAATTCGGTTGCAGTGTGTGGCGTTTCGGAAATTCGGCATATCCCATTTCGGTTCGGTTCAAACCGAACCGGCTGAACGCCCACCCCTATAGTGAATGGTTGTCCTTCCAAGTAGTGGCGACAATGACCCACTGCCATAAGTGTTGGTAAATACTTCTTTTCATACGTGCTCAAACTCTGGTTTCTCACACTCAAAGAGTTGCTGGAATATGCTAGGGGACAACCTCCTCGGGACAAGATAACACCTACAACAGTCCCACAAGCATTTGTCTCCAACGTAAAGGGAATTGTGAAATTAGGGAGAGCCAAAAAAGAAGCTTCACACATGGCCTTCTTCAGAGCAACAAAAGAAGTTTCTGCTGTAGGATTCCACTGGACCTATTTTTCCTCAGTAGGTCAGTCAAAGGGTAGTTGATGGTACCATAATCCCTGATAAATTTCCGATAATAGCTTATTAAACCCGGGAATCCTCATAAATGCTTAGTATGAGGTCCTGGCCAAGTCTGCATTGCCGAGATTTTACCAGGATTAGTAACTACACCCTCCTTGCTGATAATGTGTCCCAGGTATTCAACTTTGCGTTGCCCAAATTCACATTTAGATTCCTTGGCAAACAGTTGATTGTCCCTCAGCAACTGCAATGCAATATTCACGTGTTATAGATAAGCCTCTTCTGTCTTGTTGTATACAAGAATGTCGTCGAAGAAAACGAGAATAAACTGCCTCAAGTATTTGCCAAACACATGATTCATGAGAGTCTGGAAGGTGGCAGAAGCGTTTGTGAGGACAAAGGGCATAACCCTGAAATTATAGTGGCATTGGTGAGTCCTGAAAGCAGTTTTGAACAGATCAACTAGATACATACGAATTTGGTGGTATCCTGCCCTTAGATCCAGTTTTGAGAATATGAGAGAACCATGTAGCTCATCTATTAGATCTCCTCTATGTGGGATGGAGAACTTGTATTTGATAGTAGCCACATTTAACTTCCTGTAATCTACACAAAATCGCCAAGTGCCATCCTATCCAACTCTTATTGAAGCATTTCAGCCACCAGTTTATATGCCACAGCTTTCTGATGATGAGAGAAATGATAAGGGCGGATATTAATGGGTTTAGTATATGGAAGAAGAGGAATGGTATTGTCAAAGTGCGGGTATGAGGAAGGAAAGAGGGAGCAGATGTTATCTTAACGTAGCAGAGTGAGATCGGAACGAAGAGAGATCGGAACGGAAACCAAAATCACACAAGTATTTACGTGGTTTCCTTGATCGATGTGATCAAGACTAGTCCACGGCCGAAGCACACAACTCTCGTATTTACTTGCTTACGGCAATGTTACAGGTTACAATATATATATTTCCATAACCCTAGCTAGCCGAAGTAGGGAAGAGGATCGGCCATGGTATTTAGTCTAACCTAGGCCTACACTGCTACGTACAATTACATAATGGGCTTAAGCCCACGTACATGAGAATCGTCATAACTCAACAGCCTCCCCCAAATTGATGAAGGTCACGCATCATCAATTTGCCAGCAAGATAGGAGTGTCGACTAGCAGTGAAGGCCTTAGTTAGAATATCTGCAATCTGATCCTCGGACTTGACATAGAAGATCCGAATAACTCCGTCACGAACCAAGTCTCGAATATAATGAACATGGACCTCAATATGCTTGGTGCGATCATGAAGCACAGGATTTGTAGCAGTCCTTATAGCACTGGTGTTATTAACGTACACTCCATCGGAATCTCACAAATCACACTAAAATCACCAAGTAAGTTCCACAGCCACTCCAACTCAGATACTACATCAGACATAGCACGATACTCAGCCTCCGTTGATGACTTAGAAACCCGATCTTGTTTGTTGCATCGCCATGAAAGGAAGGAGCCACAAAGACGAACACACCAACCAGTCGTAGACCGACGAGTGTCCATACACCCAGCAGAATCAGAATAAGAGAAAGCATGCAGAACAAAAGAACCTGAGGCAGGAAGAAAAAGACCGACTCCTCTAGTTCCCTAAAGGTACCGGAGGAGTCGATGAACAGCAACCAAATGATCTGTCCTGGGTGCTGACATGAACTGGCTAACGATCTGGACCGCATAGGCAATATCAGGACGAGTCGATGTAAGATATATGAGACTACCCACAATACTGCGATACTGCTTCCCCCTATCAGTCAAAAGATCACCGCTCTCCTTCCCTAATTTAACATTGAGCTCCATCGGTGTAGAAACAGGAGCACAATCTGCAAAACGTGCAGACTCCAAAAGTTCATCAATATATTTCTTTTGACTGAGAAGAATACCATCACGAGACCGCTGAACCTCCAACCCCAGAAAGTAGGATAGTGAACCAAGCTCCTTTAGAGTGAATGACTCATGTAAGCCCTGTGTAAGAGTAGTAATCACGGCTGCATCATCACCACTGACGATCATATCATCGACATAGAGAAGGAGAACCACAATGCCACGAGATGACCGACGGGTAAACAAGGAAGGATCATTCAAAATTTGCTAAAAACCCAGACGCAGTACAGTGGACTGGAACTTATCAAACCACACTCTAGGAGCCTGCTTTAGCCCATAGAGTAACCGCTGGAGTAAGCAAACAGGATCCGGAATGTCGGTATTATGAGAGTACCCAGGCGGAAGTTCCATATTGACGGTCTCCTTAAGATCCCCATGCAAGAAGGAATTTTTGATATCCAACTGATAGAGAGCCCACTGACGAAGAGAGGCCACTGCGAGAAGAGAACAAACAGATACCATCTTTGCCACAGGAGCAAAAGTCTCATCAAAATCAACACCAAACTCATGACTGAAGCCTTGAGCTACCACTCGAGCCTTAAATCGTTCTAAGGAGCATCAGGGAGAAACTTAAGAGCATAGACCCAATGAGAACCCACAACCAGGTGATCTAACCGACGAGGAATAACTACCCACGTCTTATTAGCATCAAGAGCTGTTTTTTCCTCAGTCATGGCGCGCTCCCAGTTGGGATCCCCTCTAGCTTGAGAGTACCTAGTAGGAACAAACAAAGAATCCACAACATAGGAAACATAGTCATTGTGGCGAATAGGAGGAACACCCAAGGTAGAGTGATTGGAGCGACGAACCGGGGGCGGAGGAGGCGGCGGGAAAAGTGGTGGAGACGGTGGTGGTGTCGGCGGAGGGGAGGCAGGCGGGGATAGCTGTTCAGTTCCAAGAGCATCGTCGACATCATCATTGGAATCGGGAAATGAAGGAAGGCTTAAGGACAGGTCAAACAATGGAGCAGAGGTGGAAGACTCTGAATAGTACGTAAGATTCTCCATAAACACAACATTACAGGCTATGCGATTACGACAAAGAACAGGGTCATAACAAATATAACCTTTATAGGTATCACTATAGCCAAGGAAGACACATCGAGCAGTTTTGGAGGATAACTTTGTACGTTCAGACCGGGGAAGCAAAACAAAACAGAGACATCCAAAAACACGAAGGCGGGAATACGACGGGTGCTTGGCAAAAAAATTAAAATAAGGACTAGACTGGCCAAGAACTGGAGTAATCTGGTAGTTAATTAAACGGACCACCGTAGAAACAGTTTCTGGCCAAAAGAAAGAAGGGATGTGAGAGGCTAACAGAAGAGCACGAGTAACCTCTATGACATGATGGTTCTTACGCTCAACCAAACCATTTTGTTGTGAGACACCTGGACATGATTTATGGGTAAGAATACCAAGAGAAGCATAGAGATTAAGCAAAGGTGTCGAATTAAACTCACCCCCTGGATCAGATCGAACTACACGAACAGTTCTATCAAACTGAGTCTGGATCATTTTCAAAAATTCAGTGGATATGGATAAGAGATCAGATTTAAGGCGCAAAAAATAAACCCATGTGTATCTAGTGGCATGATCAACAAAGAGAGCAAAGTACTTGTAACCATGACGAGAAGTAACTGGACTAGGTCCCCAAAGGTCAGTATGGATAAGATGGAACGGTTCTGTAATAATCGTGGTACTAGAGGGAAATGAAATGCAGGTGGTTTTAGCTTCAACGCAATGTTGACAACAAAAATCCGATAGCCGATCAAATTTGTGTTATAACCAAACAATTGTTGAGGAAACATGGTTACAAGACGAGTAGAATTGGGATGACCCAACCTAGCATGCCACAAATGAAACTTTTGATCACTAAGACTCGAATATACAGGAAACGAGGATACCCTAGACACCTAAACCGAATCCGACGATGAGCTGGAGGGCGATGCGACGAGCTCATCCAAGAAAAATATCCGACCGTGCTTACTACCCCTCCCTAGCTCCCTCCCCGTCGTCAGGTCCTGTACAACACAACCAGAGGGTGCAAAAATAACCCGACAACCTTGCTCAGTAAGTTGTCCCATAGAAACCAGATTAGGAACCAATTTAGGAACATGAAATGTAGCCGGTAACTCAATATGATGATCTCGAACAGAATCAATGCCAGCAACCTGAAGCTTATTACCATTGGCAACTTGTAATGACAAATCAGCAACTGGGCGAACATCCTTAACCATAGAAATATTGCTAGTCATATGATTAAAACATGCCGAATCAACAATCCACTTGCGAAATTTACCTGTGACCTGAAGGCTGGCAAAGGCAGATGTTATTGCCTTGTTAACCATCTATTCCAATGCGCCAGGGGTGACTAATATACCATCTGAGGCTGTTGCTGGTGTCGCGGGATAGACAGGCCAAGAAGCATGTTGCTGGCTTGCTGCTGCTGTCCATAACCGTCGCCAGGCGGCTGATTTCCATAGCTGCTACCGCGACCTGAGCTAGGACCACCAGAATTGCTACCATCTGCCATTCTTTCCTGAAGCAAACCACAATCTGAAATTATATGACCACGTTTCTTACAGTAGACACATAAATTTTTCTTACGACAATATTTCTTCGTGTGGCCCTTTTCGCGGCAGTGATGGAATTCCACTTCGGAAAGGGGACGACGAGGAGCACGATATGCAGCATAAGCCTCCCCAAAGTCGTGGGAGGAGTCGTCAGCTGCGTCAACAGCGGCAGATTGTGTCACTTGCCCTTGGGGGCATCCCCTGTTACCTCCAGCTGCGCGGAAGGACGAAGCTGTTGCACGGAAGGAAGAAACAGCGCCGCCCGTGGCTGCGTGCGCGACTCCAAAGACGGCTCCATATCCGCGGCCAGGATGCGCGTCGAGAGTGGCTTGCGTGCGCAAGCGGGTTTCCTCGCGAATCAGATCAGCGAGAACCCCTTCCAGGCGAAGAGACTCACAATTGAGGAGAGTTTCCCGGAGAGACTCAAACTCGGGTTTGAGCCGCATCAAGAACTGGAGCATCCGGATTTTGTTCTTCTCCGCTTGGAGTTCGGCAGGAATGGGCTGTGAAAGAAGGGACGCCGTGAGCAAGTCTTGTTCGGTCCATAGGAGCCGCGCTGCATTGACGTAGGAGGCTACATCGAGCTCGCCTTGATGTAAATTGGCGAGTTCCACCTCAAGCTCGAACTGGCGGTTGCCGCTTGTAGCAGAATACGTAGCTGCCAAGGAGTTCCACATGGTGGAAGCAATTGGAATGAGACGAAGGCCAAGGATAATGGCAGGATCAACGGAGTTCATAATCAATGATCGGACCCGAGAGTCGTTTTGCAGCCACTTCTGAACTTCTTGCTCGGTGGAGGGTGGTACCGTAGGCTTGGCGGATGAGGCATCAAGCAAACCAAAGAGACCTTTTCCTTTGATGAATACTCGGAACTAAAACTCCCACAAAGCATAGTTCTTGGAGTTCAGCCGAGTGTTGATGTGATCGGAATCCATACCCGTAAGCTCTGATACCATGTTATCTTAACGTAGCAGAGTGAGATCGGAATGAAGAGAGATCGGAACGGAAACAGAAATCACACAAGTATTTACGTGGTTTCCTTGATCGATGTGATCAAGACTAGTCCACGGCCGAAGCACACAACTCTCGTATTTACTTGCTTAGGGAATTGTTACAGGTTACAATATATATATTTCCATAACCCTAGCTAGCCGAAGTAGGGAAGAGGATCGACCAGGGTATTTAGTCTAACCTAGGCCTACACTCCTACGTACAATTACATAATGGGCTTAAGCCACGTACATGAGAATCATCATAACTCAACTGCAGCAAACACATTTGAGTAGGTGGCAAGTAAGGGTTTCAAAAAGGGTGGAGTGGGACTAGGGGTTGGAGTGGCTTTAATGGAAAACACAACTCCAGTAAGGTGAGAGAAAGGTTTCTTAAGGAGCTGCTAGAAGTTGTGCCCAATCATCATCTTACACTGATCATCCTTAGAGAGGCCTTGAAGGGTGAGAGTGCCCCCTTTTCATTCAAAGGCCAACTGCCTCTTCATAAGGTCCACTTGAAAAGGACTGATGGTTTCCAACCAATCCCAACCCAAAACAAGATCATGAGAAGGCAATTCCAGTGTTATGACATCAAACCCAAACTCTTGGCCCTTCATTTTCCATCTAAAGACCCTACAAACTGAACTGCTAAGCAGGGTGTGGCCACTAGCTACCTTAACCCTCATATGAGCAATGCATTCAGTCAGGCAATTCAATTCTTCAGCCCTAATCGAGTTCAAGAAGGTATAAGAACTTCATGTATCAATAAGAATAGTTACCTCCTTGTGCCTCGCTATAGCTAGTATAAGGTGAATTACCCGAAATTCTGAACCCATAGGCTGCAGAGAAACCTCAAGCTCAGCGTCGTGGAAGTCTTCTTCACCATCTTCTGCTTCATTTGGCGATGGAGATTCCTCAGCATGCATAACCTGTTGCTTCTTCTTTCCAGCACATATATGACCGTGGAAGTACTTGTCGCCGTATTTGTAGGAAAGGCTCTGCCCGCGATGAACGGAAGGTCGATCGGTGGAGGGAAAAGAAGGAGGTGATGGTGAAGCCTTTGTCGAAACCGGTGAAGCAGCAACCGACCAGCGATAAGAAGACGTCTTATGAGTCTTCCGCTTGCAAGCTTCAATGGCGGCCTCCTCTAGTCGAGCCTGATAGAAGGCACATGCCAAAGTAGGAGGATTAAGCACCTGTATGCAAGGGTGGATTTCATCATCAAGGCCCCCCAAGAAGATGAGGATGAAGTATTGCTCGTTAAGCGCCGGGTTAAGGCGAAGCATATGTGAGCGCAAGTCCTCAAAATCCTCTGGATAGCGAGAAACGGAATTCGTCTGGCGAAGATGATTGAAAGACGCCACGACATTCAGCTCCTCTTGATTATCGAATCGACGAAGCAACTCGTCGACGAATTGCCCCCAAATCAACATAAATCGTCAGAAAGACCATCCTTCGAACCATGTATGAGCTTTGCCTTCTAGGTAATATGAAATCAACTCCATCTTTTGCTCTTCGGGAATAGAGTAGAGCTGGAAGAGCTTGATACATTTGCTGACCCACATGCAGATCTAACCCGAAGAAGGAAGAAAACTCAAGGCAGGGATAGTGATCGATAATCGACGACCGACGCTGCTGGTGACGAAAGTGTTGGTGCTCGGAGAAATGATTTGTATTGGCATGCGGCGGCGAGGGAACCAACAACTTTGCCGCACCCTAGCGATGGAAGCCGCCAGAGTGTCAATATTATCCTTCGTTGTAGCCGCCAAAGCACAAATGGCTTCCTTCAGATCTTGATACTGAGTATCGAGCTTCAATTGAACCTCTGCCATCTGAGTCTCCAAATCCACGATGCTAGAAGTATTTTTCGCCATTGTCGGAGGAAAGCCTTCTGATACCACTTGTAAGGATCGTCAATGGTTGAATCCGGCGAAATGGGAAGGAGAGACGGGAAAGAAGAAGATAGAATGGAGGGGAAAAGTTTTGGTTTTATTGCTAACTAGCGTGGGCCCCGACCATTTGGCCGGAGGAAGGTGAGGTATGAAATTTGATAATGTAATGGGGTGTATAGCTTATTGTTGTAGTTTTTTTTTGGGAAACATGTGATAAAAATAGTGAATTTTAGTAGGAAAGAAACATGAATGATGCAACGAATCAAAAATCAGCCTTATGAACCAAAATCAAGTACCTGTTACCTTGTGAAACAATATTGTTTCTGGTAATATGATGAGGTGGAGTAAGCTTTATAGAAACTGAATTCCAGAAAATCGAATAAAAAATCGCATATCCCGTCGGTTTTCGGGAAATGAGCATCTCACAATCGTTGCTAGCTTTTACTCGGTCCGTTGGCCGATTAATTTGCTTTATAAAACTTTCATCTTGTCATCATTGTGCTTTCTGGTTTTTGCCAAGCCATGATAAAATCTAAAGAAATCAAGAATGAACAACACAATTTGGGAATAGGAACCATCGTTCTTGTATCCCTAGAAAATGGTGTTAAAACACGGACTCACCTGCCAAACTGGTTTGGATTGAGATTTTTATCGGGTATCAGGGAACCATGTGATTACAAATTAGACTTGATCAAAACGGGCCAAAACTTGAAATTCAGCCTGTTTGACCGACCCATGCCAAACTCTAATTATTCTTTACTTTTAAACTTTCTATTTGAAAATAAAAAATAATGAAAGAAAAGAGATGATTGCAATTTGCACATCACTGATTCCGGAATAAAACTATAGAATTTTGAAAGGACACTGAAAATGTTTAGGATCGTTTTAATGTTAAAAATAACTAAATAGATCTTTCTGTTTAGTTTTTTACTAACAAATACCAAACGATTCCCTATAATATACACTATAATTTAATCATTATGATATCAAATAATTACATAATATATATTTGAAATGATAAAAATTGGACTAATTGGGTTGGTCGAGGTTGAACCATTGAATAACTTTAAAATACATTATATTTTAGCCAGTAAGATATAAAATAATAGCATAATATATATTATGTTAGAGAAAATAGCTTGTTTTAGAATGGCAAACCCATGATGTTCATTTATTTTATGATTAGCGGTTAGCCCATTGGAATCCATGCATTAGTTTATTGTTAATTTAATTTCTTTTTAGCAATAAAAAGGAGTATTGTTTTTGCCTTTTCATATATATTTTACCACCACGGAGAAATAAAAAGACTTAAAGAAAAAATTGACACTCCTGGACCCGTTTAAATCCGCATGTGTACGGTAAGTTGGCCACTTCCATAGAGGAAAAAGAAAAAAATTGCCACTCCCTATTCTACCCTTTCTATAAACGCTCCTGGAGTAGGAAATTTGAAATGGGAGAAGAGTTTTTTCTTCTCTGCGATTTTATGTTATTAATTTAAAAAGATACAACAAATATACTTATTTTGATTGGTTATGATCTTTGTTTTTTTTTTAAAGTGGTTATGGTTCGAATACTAATAAGTCTTTTTAATGAATAGCTAATTGGTAAAAATCATAACACAATTATGCTGGAACCACTCGAACCCTAAGATTGTGGGGTTAAATTTGCTGGGGATTGCTGGTCCTCTTCGCGGCAAAGGAAGAGGGAGCTACTTTGGGGGAGACAGCGGAAAGCACGAAATTACTTGGTTGGTGTTTGCGGCTGAGTTCACCTGGCGGCAACTTGGTTGGAGATTGATCATACAGCTGGCATCTCAATAAGATTTAGGGATGGATAGAAGTTTCGCTAAGGAGCTTTACTCGGAAAGCTTGGATCTTGCTACTGCCCAATTGGCTGATCTAGCCACACCCGGCTGTAAGCACTCTACTGGATCTTTGGCTAATTAAGCTTCAGTCCTGTCATTATGAACTATTTGTATGCCAAGTTTTTGCTGGAATTCATGATTTGAGGCCAGTTGGAAAGCAGTTGTGAAACCCTTGACTTGTTATTTCAAAAACCTCTTTAAGAATTGATTCTTGCTTACCTAGGGGTTTGGAGTTCGTTAGTCGATTTAGGATGCCTGAGCATCCTTTTCTGTTTTTTTTTCTCCGTCTACTCTTATCTGGTAAATATGGTTGAGTACTTTGTTGCTGGAGTTGCGTGTGTGTTGTGACATGTGAAGGTAGAGGTTTCTGGATCGAATGAATCGATGAACTTTGTTTTTGGAATCAAATGAGTCAGACCATTGAACCATTTTATGTTGGAATCAGTGGTTGAATCATCATGACTAAGTCTGCCATATGATCTCTATCTGGTGTTTGTGCACATAATACAACAGTGGGTAAGTTCCACGTCTGCTCGATGGATTTCATGTTGATTGACATTGTAGAACATGGGATTTCTAGAGGCTGACATGCTCTTTCTATTTTGTTTTCACTGCTGGAACAGATTTGTCAAAGTGTGGGCTTTCCTTCTTTACACCTAGCTTATAGCATTGAACAGAAAAATGTCATTGGAAGGGCATAGATGTGTAACCTTTTCTTATTACCAGAGCTTACACGGCTTCTATATCAACTATGCAATAGTGAGCTTTTCGTATAATTTTGGGATCAGTCTGTGTTTTGCGTGGAAAGCCTTCTTTTCATAGCTTTCAAAGGCATGAACTTTTGTTTGACCTAATTTGAGGTTATGTGAAGGCGACTTGCAGGATGATAATGATGATGGATCTCTGTGGGGTGGTTCAGAAGATGGATTGGATAAACCTTCTGATTTGGATAGGGAGTGGCAGAAGAGACGCAACGAGTTTCATGCAGTAAATTTTTTATTTTTCAAGCTTGCTTGTAGTTTCTAATCCTATTTTTGAATTGTCCTCTATACATGTTTCTTGAACAAGTTATGTTAATCTTGTTTGGAAAAACACCAGATTGGATATCGTGATGGCCTGATTGCAGGGAAAGAAACTATCGCTCAAGAGGGATTCAACATTGGGTTTAAGCAGTCAGTGATTGCAGGATACAACTGGGGCACCGTTAGGGGCGTTACTAGGTATTATACTATTATCTTCTTCTTCTTTTCCTGAGGTATCTTGCGCGGGAGGTCTCTGATTTGTATGCTTCTCTTTCCTCCATGAAGTGCGCTTTCTTCCTTGCCGGATGGTTTGAAGGAAAAATTGGTTCAACCAGAGGAAAAGAGAAAGAAATTTCACGAATTGTATGAGTCAGTGAATTCTATTACAACGACCAATGCTCTCCAGCTATTTCATGAAGATGTACTAGCAGAGGAGGCGGCAGGGAAGAAGATAAAACAGAGCGAAGAAGGTGCAGAGCCGCAAAAGGGAAGCTCCAGCCATCTAGGAATTTATGTTGAAGAGCTTCAGTCCCTTCTTTGCGATTATCCAGCAATTCAGTCAAATTCTTTGGCAAGGTAGAGAATGGGAACATATGCTAACAAGTAGCATATCATGAACAAACTTTTATACCGTTAATAGTAGAGAATGGTTTGGACTTCGCTACTTTTTTTTTATGATCTTGTCGATGTCCATTAAGTATAGGCTGAGGCACTAACTCATGGGTAGTGATGGCAATTTCAACCCGCCCCGCGGGTATTACCCGACCTGATTTGCGATGGGGCGGGTATTAACCAACCCACAGTAGCGTGGGGTGGGGCGGTGCATGGGTATCTACTTCCAATCCGCCCTGCCCCGCCCCGTTCTAGACTCATTTTATCTCAATTTCTTACAATATCTATACATATGTCTCCTATTTTGACTTTTCTTCAACTAGTTAGAGTCGATCTTTCAACTTGTTAGGCTCAATTATCCATTCTATTATCAATATTTTTCATTCTTAAAATGTTTTCCCCTACATTTTATTGTAAAAAGTAAAATTTACTTGTATTTTTTTGAATAACATGTAAGAGTGGGTCGACCCACCCCGTCCCGACCCCTAGTAGCATGGCATGGGAATTTAGGTACCCGCTCCATTGCCATCACTACTCATGGGTCTAAAGGGTGCACAAATAAAACCCAGACCTGACCACGAATCCACTAAAGACTAGCCTTTCAGATAGCGGTCTGAATGGTTAACCGAAGAATGGTTTGGAATTGGAATTTGATTGGAAGAACCCAAGAAAAAAATTTTGTCGATAAACCTCTTTCCTCTTCTCTATGTCTTCTTCTTCCTATTTTTCTCTAAATTTTTGAGTTATTTTCTTCATCCACTTCAATTCATTGATTTGATCATGTCTTCTTCATTGACTTCAATTAAATCCTTTCAAGAAATCTTCAATTTCATAAACCATTTCACTCATTGGTACCTACCAGATTCATTGTTCCTTCTATGGACCCTCTAATTCAAGAATTCCCTTTCCAACTCTCTATCTTCTTTCATCTTCACTATATCAAGGCATGGATTGAGATCATGGAAGGGTCTACTTCCTCCTTCTTCAGGTACAAGAAATAGGAATTATTTTAGACTAATCCTTTGGTTGTGAAACAAGGTAGAAGAGTACAGCAGTGAAGGAAGCCGCTGGTGACTGTTGCTAAAGGAGGGTGCAGATCAATAAATCTTTGACTGATAGAGCTTTATGACGGTGCAGATTTGCGCTATTTCCAGAAGTGGTAGGAGATGATGGGTATCTTGTAGTGATGGCAATGGCGTGGTGCGAGTATCTAAATAGTAATGCCCCGTCTCATGTTATTGTGGGTCGGGGAGGGTAATACCCGCACAGGTACGGGGCGGGTCGATCCACTCTTATATGTTATTTGTAAAAAATATAAGTAAAATTTTACTTTTTACAATTAAACGGATGGGAAAATACTTATGAATGAAATATACTGATAATAGAATGAATAATTGAGTCTAACTAGTTGAACGATTGACTCTAACTAGTTGAAAATTTGTCAAAATAGTCAAAATATAAATAGATATTATAAGAAATTGAGATAGAATGGGCCAAGAACCGGGCGGGGTAGGACGAGTCACAATTAGATACCCATCCCCGCCCCATGCTACTGCAGGTTGGGTAATACCCACCTCATCGCAGGTTTGCTCGGATAATACCCGCTGAATGGGTTCAAATTGTCATCCGTAGTCTGTTGGGGGATGAGAAGAAAGTCGATAGATCAAAGAAAAGGAAGTAGGAAGGAAAAAAAATGAAAGTAGTTATAGGGGTGGTGCAAGGATTTGGTGTTCCAGGGTGGGGGGAGCGAAGTTTCTTACATCGCTATCGTAGAAAAATTGTGAAAATAATTAAAATAAAATTATTTTAATTGTATGATAACTTCACTTTTAAGATAATAAAAGCAAATAAAAAAATAAGATCGAAACTAAAAATATCTATCATGACAGGTTCAATATAGGTTAGAAAAATATAGAAAAAAACAATCACACATTTTGTAATACCCCGATCCTTGTTTCCCATTAACGGGCTTAAACACCCTTTTTTCTACATAGACCGCCAGCGGCCCAGCTCCTCCTTAACCTCTTTATTAATGTCATTTGGGTTTGGGCCCACTTCCTCTCCCTCTCTTTTAGTCTCTCTTCCTGACTGCCCAAATAGTAATGCCCACTCAACCCGATCCTTGATTGGGTCTTGATTCAAAAACCCAACATTCGTCTGTAACTTGCTCATTTTGTATTGAAGTTCAACGCCGTTTCAACGAAATTTCATATTTTTTTTATCTTTACCGATATTACGGTGTAACTTGACAAATTACATCAAAGACACAATGGTCTTTTCGACTTAGAAAAAGACGGGGTGTAACATTTCTCATCTCTTTGGAAAATTTTCATTCTCGAAATTTTGCTCGAAACTCATTCCGCTGTTAACAACATTTTTGTTTTTCCTTGCCACAAGAATTTATTCTCTCTATATGAACTTCAATGGTGCCCTTTGCTTATCGCATAGTTTTTATTGAACCTTTTATGTTTCCTCTTAATCATAACAGGTATCCCCACCTAGTTTTGTAGCATCGAGTAGCTTTGAGTGACTCATGATCCTTTTGATTTCGCAACTTGGCCCGGTAATTTATTCCGATTATGTTTGATTCATTGCTTCGACTCGTTCAACACTTGTTGTTGAGGCAAAATAAAAAACGATGTATCACATTTCCTCCACACTTATAGAAATTTAGCCCTCGAAAATATTCCATTATAACTACTCCAAGCCTCGCTTCTGATAATTCTTTTTTTTTTTTTACTCCAAGGGTTTGTAACGCCTAATTTTTTGCATTTGTTACATTATTACTTTGATACTCCATCTTAGACTCTAACCATCAACCTAATGGTCATCGCCTCGTTACTGGTAGCTTAGTGCTGAAATCCTCACACCACTGACTTTACTTTCTATAAACATTAGAGGCACCCTTTGCATAGTACCCCTAACTTGCGATCAACTATATTTTTCTTTAAGAAATCAAGAAATCCCCTTTGGATTATTTGTTCACTCCAGGGCACCTACCTTAGCACTTTCTCAACGCCGTTTGAATTTGGACTTTGTACGATTTTGCCAAATAATTGTCGCCATCTACCATGATCTCGTAGTTGGTTTAATAAGGCTTGCTAACTTTATCATAGTGTCCAACTCCAGCCGCCCCCATTAACCATTCAGGAATTTGACCACCTCCTCCCTAACGCCATCATCCCATAGAGATGCTTTTATTATCTCAATATTTATTCCTCTTTTACTTCTTTATTCATGCCCCTCTTCTTGATGTTCCTCTTATCCTTATGTATATGAACCTTTAAACTAGCTTGATGTCTTCGACATATCTAAACGACCACACTTCCACCTAAAATTGGACCGACAAGCTCGTAACTCCTTGACGACCTCTGATGGTCCAATTGTTCTCTCTAGCAATTAACTTAATGCCCACTTACCATCTTTTGTACCCTTGCTTCGGCCCTTCCTAAATATCTCCCTCCATGTGCACTTGAGTCACTAACCCATATTTCTACCATTTCATTAGAAAGCTCTCATGTTCTTTCTAACTTCATGACGTCTTTTCCTTACCCTTGTCGCTTATAACTACTATCCCTATTCATTGAAATAGTTGAATACCTTCTCGTGGTACCTTTCTGTTTCTTGCATCCTTTTTATACTAGTGATCGCCATACGCCTCAATCTCTTATTTGATGTCCCATAACGTGTAAACTAAATTGCATCCTAGATTATTCCTAACCCAATCACACCCTCATGTACCATCCCGTCGTGTCATGTTGTCATTGTTATTCACCTTAATATGATTAGAGTAGACTAGAGATTCTATAGACTCTTAAAAGAAAATCCTCTACTCGTTTGGCCAAACTCTTAGCTTAAAACACATTTCCCTTTCATTTAAAACAAATGAATTTAAATTTGAGACCGATCTTTCAGTATTCCTTGGAGACCAAGGAATAGAGGAAGACAGGCTCTGATACCAAAATGTAACACTCCAATCTTTGAAACCTTAGAAAATTTTTTTTGCTCCGGAGCATTTTTTTTAAAGGAATAACTTGGTCAAATAAACTAAAATACTTTGTTCTAAAATCTTAAATATAGTAATACTTGAAACAAAGCCGTAACACAACTAGAAAAACTTATTTATTCTCCCGTCTATACTCATAATCATAAATTGAAATAACTAAAAAGTTTGTGTTGCCGCTAACTGAGATCCGTTCCTCCAACATCTTCAGTGGCCCTCGTGCTTATCTCCTCTAGCTGGCTACTCTCGAACTGGATGCTCCCTCTTACCTCTACTACGACCTGGTGAGTGGGTTGGGGTCTATCTATGCCCTTACGTTTGAAATTCCTAACATTTGCGCACTTTTCTTAAAACACTTAACTTAAATTGTTGGAAGTTGTTTGTACTTCCACTCTTAAAACTGTAGGGGAGCTAAAGTTACTCTCCCTTCTTCAAGATCAAATCTCGACTTAAATACTTGACTGACACGGGGATCCCTCAATAGCTAGTGCGATTGTCCAACTCATACGTATGAGAGCCCCTCCAGGCTTTCCTTAAACTTAAACTTAGTTAAGGGAGTCATAACAACTCATCCCCCTAACATGTTAAACTTATCGTTAAAGTCGTAACGATTCGTCCCCACGATAATCAAGAGCATAACTGTTGCTCATCAAAATTTCAAATGGCAACGGACTAGCACTAGTGACAAAAAACTCTTAAATCTATTTCACCGTCTTGAAGGTGAATTACTTATTAAAAAAACTTATTTTTTAACTTCAACTTACTTGTAAGTAAAGCATGCAATATCATGTATAATTGGAAACGTAAATCACACGTAATCCTGAGCATATGTGCCTTGGTTTCTCCATAGTACCTTCACCATATGAACTTTCTTCCTTCGTAGTTATTTATCCTCACAGTCAATGATTCCGACCAGTATCTCATTATTGGTCATACCACTATTCAATTGCATATCTTCTAACTCCATGATGTGGGCTAGGTTGGATCGGTATCCCTTAAGCATGCTAACACAGAATACATCGTGGATCTTGGACATGTATGAAGTTGGTTCTAGTCTTTATGCTAGAGGGCCTACTCACTCCAATACTTCATACTATCGAATGCATCTTGGACTCGACTTTCCCTTCTTTTCAAATCTCATAACCCCTTTTCATGGAGAGAACATCAAGAACACCTTCTCACCCACTTCATGAGTCCTATCCTCTCTTTCTTGTCTGCATAGCTCTTTTGACAATCCTGAGCATCTTTAATGTTTTCTCGTATTTGCTTCACTTTGTCCACCATGTCTTCCACTAGGTTTGGACCATCAATCTGCCTTAATCCTTGATAACACTGTATTTGAACATGTTTTCCCATCATTTCTTGATTGTTTGAGCTCGTTTTCTCGCTCTCGTGGTCTATTTTACGCTAGGTTGTGTTGGTTTTGTGATATTTCA